TCAAAGACCCAAACACTGTAGATAACTCAAAATAAGATTTATTGTTCACAAAGAGTTATCTCTTTAAGGCAACCAGCTGGAAGTTTCAAAGGGGTGAAGGAAAATATACATCATAGTCTCTGTTTGTCTTGGGACCAAAGAGTTTGCAGCTGAGAAGCTTTGCCAAGTTTCCTCTTTCCTCAATCACTGTGAATATCGGAATAATCACAACCTCAATTCCAATGGCCTATATCTGAAGGGACAAGGCCTTCCTCTGGTGCCAAAAAAACTGGTTTGAAGGCGCTTGAGACTTCCCAATGTCGTTCAGGTTGATCTGAACATGAAGCATAAGCCTCATGGGTAAGAACCTCAGAATTGGTGCTGAGAGGTAACTTAATCAGGGGCTTTTAGAGCCAAGTCTCTTACTCACGTCCATCTGGTTGAAAATCTGATGGTGGAATGAAAAAGGGAAGCACTCCCCTCCTCCAGGAAGAGGTGGAGCCAAACAATTGAGCTGAGAAAGCAATTCAACTGGTGCAAACAACATTGATTGACAGCTATAAATAACCAATCAATCCAACTATACATAGGCAGGGTAAAAAGGCAGGATTAAGCATGATACAAAAGTTTAAATCTTGCAACTATCGGTTCTACATATAGGTGGCGCCACTCGCGCTGTCACAGTACAGCTCCCCATGCACTGGAAAGGGGAACACGCTACGGCATATCACAAAACCTAAATAGGAGATATTTTGGGAAGTGGGAAGGACAACAATAGGAGCCTGAAACCCTTACTTGTGTCGGGTGCAGGTCTTCTCCGCGAAGGGCCACGTCCACTCACAAGGCTCTGTGGAAACCTGGGCAATGGGCTGCACGTAGGACTCCTTTGAGGGTGCTGTGAAACTGGGTTGGAAAGAAGCGTTCAAATCCTTTAGAATAAGTCTGCAATGTTAGTTGGGGGGGGGGGGGGGCAAGGGGGTTGGCCTTTAAACTCAGGAAGATGTCAAACAAAAGTAAGCACCAACAGGGATTCAGACAACACCCTTCTCAATCCATAAACGTGGAAACAATCAAAACAAGCCACCACCACCCAGCTAATTCTCTCCATGGAAGGAGACCAAATGTGAACAGCTAAAAGTAAAGCCAAACTAAAGAGGAGTGCGGATTAAAAAATAATAATAAATGGAATGAAAGGAGGGAGGGAAGAACACAAGATCAAAAGCATCCCCAACATTATTATTTTTTTAATTTTCTTTGTATTGTTTTTGTTCTCCCCGCCCTACTCCTTAACAAAAAAGGCTGGTTTCTCCTTATATTTATTTATTTACGACATTTATATGCCTCCTCAGAGCAGCTTACAAGACATATAGACATAAAATAAATTATATTATTGGCATAGTACAGTATCAGTATTATATATTACTATACTAGCTGTCCCCTGCCACACGTTGCTGTGGCCCACATGGGGGTTCTGTGTGGGATGTTTGGCCCAATTCTATGGTTGGTGGGATTCAGAATGCTCTGTGATTGTAGGTGAACTATAAATCCCAGGAACTACAACTCCCAAATGTCAAGATTCTATTTTCCTCAAACTCTACCAGTGTTCACATTTGGGCATATTGAGTATTCGTGTAGTTTGGTCCAGATCCATCATTGTTTGAGTCCACAGTGATCTCTGGATGTAGGTGAACTACAAGTCCAAAACCAAAGGACACTGCCCACCAAACCCTTCCAGTATTTTCTGTTGGTCATCGGAGAACTGTGTGCCAAGACTGGTTCAATTCAGTCGTTGCTGGAGTTCAGAATGATCTTTGATTGTAGGTAAACTATAACTCCCAGCAACTACAACTCCAAAGTGTCAAGGTTATTTTCCCCAAACTCCACCAGTGTTCACATTTGGGCATACTGAGTATTTGTGCCAAGTTTGGTCCAGATCCATCATTGTTTGAGTCCACAGTGATCTCTGGATGTAGGTGAACTACAAGTCCAAAACCAAAGGACACTACCCACCAAACCATTCGAGTATTTTCTGTTGGTCATGGGAGTTCTGTGCCCCAAGATTGGTTCAATTCCATCATTGGTCGAGTTCAGAATGCTCTTTGATTGTAGGTGAACTCTAAATCCCAGCAACTACAACTCCCAAATGAGAAAATCATTTTTTTTTTAGTGAAGGACATACATTGGGTTGTTAGGTGTCTTGTGTCCAAATTTGGTGTCAATTCGTCCAGTGGTTTTTGAGTTCCGTTAATCCCACAAATGAACATTACATGTTTATTTATATAGATTGTACTATACCATTATATTGTAATATTATTAGTAGTATTACATGTAATATAAAATATATAATTATATCATATTATTAGTAGTATTATCTTGTATTACATTATAATATTATAAATATCATATGTATATACATATATTATATTATATTATTATATTGTATTATATTATTAGCATAGCACAGGAGACAAGGTGCAACTTATGACCCCTCTTCCAACTGCTCACCTTTCCCAGTAGCTGCAAACATTGGGGTCACCAGGAGTGAGCAACAGACCCTGGTCCAGTTGCATCCACAACAAGAAGATAGCATATGGGATCATCCTCCTGAGGACAGAGAGAAAAGGGCACAGATGGACAGAGGGACAGAATCATAGAATCCAAGAGTTGGAAGAGACCTCGTGGGTCATACAGCCCAACCACATTCTGCCAGGAAGCAGGAAAATCTCATTCAAAGCACCCCCGACAGATGGCCATCCAGCCTCCAAAGAAGGAGCCTCCACCATACTCCGGGGCAGAGAGTTCCACTGCTGAACAGCTCTCTCACACTGTTAGGAAGTTCGTCCTCATGTTCGAATTTCCTTTCTTTCCTGTAATTTGGCGTTTCTCAACCTGGGGGCCAGGACTCCTCTGTGGGTTGCGAGGGGGTTTCAGAGGGGTCACCAAAGACCATCAAAAACATATATATATATATATTTTAAAAATTTATTTTCAGTATTGTACAGAAGTGTTTATAATAATATGCTTATAACTGTATTTATGTTTGTATTGGTTGCCCTTAGGCTGGAGCGGCCTAGCTGTTAGGAATGTGTTACCATGGAAACGAGGCAGAAGAGGAGGTGGGAGGAGCTTAGAGAATGAAGGTTTTGAAAAGTGACAGTTAGAGTCAGTCAGGGTTTTAGGCTCAGGGAAGAGCAGGTCAGGATTGAGACTCTGAGAAGTGAAGAGTCAGGTTTCAGTGTTCGTGAATAGTAGAGATTTCTTCAGTTAGGAAGCTGAAGGGGAAAACCTTGTTAGTTGCTTTAGTTAGAAAGAACTAACAGAGGCTGTTAAGATCGCTAGTCGGGAGAAGACTAGAGATCTGTTGTTTGATCAAGGATAGATCAAACAGGGAGACTATTCACTGCAGGGAACACTGGTTAATAAAGTGCTTCACCACAGCAAGAGTTCATAAGTTGTAACATCGAAAGTCTGAATTGTATCGCAACCAAGTTACATGTAACCTTCAATTATTTGCCAAGCTTAACATCATCATACTGCAACCATACGCTTTGTTTCAAAATAAACTTGTTCTCTTTGGGTTTTTAAAACTGCCTCATCTCCATTAATTCTACGTTCGGTGTACCCAATCTCCCAAAATTACCTCACAACACAAACAGGGTGGCATCCAGTGGTATTAATACCAGAGCCTTTTACAAATCGGTGGCTCCTCTCTCCTAAACCTAAGGGTCTTCCTCACTAATTGCTGGCGATCTTTTACCACCTGGTAGCCGTCTCTTTACAATTATTTTCAAAAGATTAACAGTGAAAGTGGGGGAACAATATACTTGTTACAGAAAAGCAGGAAAGGAAAGTCAGAGGCAGGGGGAGATGAGAGGGAAGAGAGAAAAAGAAGAAGAAGAAGAAAAGAAGGGCAGGGGGCGGGAAGATTGTTGACTTTCGGTTCGGGTCGGGAAGTCAACAATTCCGGTTCAGGTCACAGGTTTGGGTCACAGTTGCTTTTTCATTTGTATCTTAGCTACTTTTCCTTATAATAATTAATAAGTGCTTCATCCTTCTAGATGGATTTGCATTTCTTCCTGCATGAACCTTTTCAAAGGTTCCCAATTCGTCTGTTTATTCTTGAATTTATTATCCATATATTGTGATAAATTATCCATGCTCATGTAATCGAGGATTTTGTTTATCCAGTCCTCGATTTGTGGAGGATTTTTCTCTTTCCATTTTTGGGCAATTGTTGTTCTTGCTACCGCTGTTATGTAGAAGAAAATCCTCTCTTCGTTTTCACTTAGGTTCAAGTTTGTTATGTTCAGAAGATAAAATTCCGGTTTCATCTCGAATTTCACACTGATAATTTTTTGGGTATATTTATGTATTGTTGACCAGTATTTCTTGATTATTTTGCATCCCCACCACATGTGGAAGTGGGTGCCTAACTCTTTTTCACATCTCCAGCATCTATTACTGTAGTTTTTGATGAATTTGGATATTTGTAAAGGTGTCCAGTATCATCAAAAATACATCTTATACCATCCTTCAATTATATATACTGCAACTCCCCTTTTCTTTACCATTGCTTAGGAGTAAAATAGCTTTCCTAACAGTTTGTTTTCTAAGTGAGTTGCAAACTTTTGTGATATGTGTGTTTCCTGGATTGTGACCACATCATAATTTTCTCGCTTGAATTGTGAAAAAAATGTTTTCTTTTATTTGGAACATTCAAGCCATTTACATTGTTACTTATTATCTTCATTAACATTCCTGCCAAATTAGTTCTTTGATTGTCCATTACTTTTGTCTTTTTTTATTGTACTTCTCTGGCGAGAATATTCTGGCGAGTCTTTTCTCAGTCTCTTTTCACCTTTCCTTCATAAAGTTCTATCTGTAGTTTTTGGAAACAGAGGGTGAATCCTACCACCAAAAGCCCTCCTCCGCTGTGATTGGCCAGCCTCTCAGCCAAGGGGAGGGCTATTTCTGTGACTCCAAATGGGAAGGGGAGAGCAGGCATGCTCGGCGCATGGCAATGTGGTGCACATGTGTGGCCGAGGGAGAGCATGCAAGGCTGGAGGAAGGTTCACACCAGCGAGTCTCTTCAAGGCATGGGGGTTCTGTGTGAGAAGTTTGGCCCAATTCTATCACTGGTGGGGCTCAGAATGCTCCTTGATTGTAGGTGAACTATTAATCCCAGCAACTACAACTCCCAAATGTCAAGGTCTGTTTTCCCCAAACTGCACCAGTGTTCACATTTGGGCATATTGAGTATTCGTGCCATGTTTAGGCCAGATCAATCACTGTTTGAGTCCACAGTGCTCTCTGGATGTAGGCAAACTACAACTCCAAAACTCAAGGCCAATGCCCACCAAACCCTTCCAGTATTTTCTGTTGGTCATGAGAGTTCTGTGTGCCAAGTTTGCTTCAATTCCATTGTTGGTGGAGTTTAGAATGCTCTTTGATTGTAGGTGAACTATTAATCCCAGCAACTACAACTCCCAAATGCGAAGGCCTATTTTCCTCAAACTCCACCAGTGTTCACATTGGGGCATATTGAGTATTCATGCTAAGTTTGGTCCAGATCCATAATTGATTTGAATCCACAGTGCTCTCTGGATGTAGGTGAACTACAACTCCAAAACTCAAGGTCAATGCCCACCAAACCCTTCTAGTATTTTCTGTTAGTCATGGGAGTTCTGTGTGCCAAGTTTGGTTCAAATCCATCATTGGTGGAGCTCAGAATGCTCTTTGATTGTAGGCAAACTATAAATCCCAGCAGCTATAACTCCCAAATGACACAATCAACCCTCCCCCCAAATCCACCAGTATTCTAGTAAGTAAGTAAGTAAGTAAGTAAGTAAACTTTATTATTGTAAATGACCAGATCATAACAGTGGGACCCACTCCCGTACATCCACAGAAAATGTATATACTTCAAACTTCAACAAATTTTAAAATCTACAACTACAACTCCCAAATGTCAAGGTCTTTTTTCCCCAAACTCCATCAGTCTTCACATTTGGGCACATTGAGTATCCATACCAAGTTTGGTCCAGATCCATCAGTGCTCTCTGGGTGTAGGTGCACTACAACTCCAAAACTCAAGGTCAAAGACCACCAAAAACCAGTCTTCACATTTGGGCACATTGAGTATTTGTGCCAAGTTTGGTCTAGATCCATCATTGAGTCCACGGTGCTCTTTGGATGTAGGTAAACTACAATCCCTCGCTCTCCGAGTACGATGGCCTTGATATAGGAGAAAGACAACTCCAAAACTCTAGGTCAATGCCTACTGCCCTTCCAGTATTTTCTCTTGGTCATGGGAGTTCTGTGTGCCAAGTTTGGTTCAAATCCATCATTGGTGGAGTTCACAATGCTCTTTGATTGTAGGTGAACTATTATCCCAGCAACTACTACTCCCAAATGTCAAGGCCTGTTTTCCCCAAACTCCACCAGTATTCACATTTGGGCACATTGAGTATTTTTGCAAAGTTTGGTCCAGATCCATCATTGGTTGAGTCCATGGTGCTCTTTGGATATAGGTAAACTACAATCCCTCGCTCTCTGAGTATGATGGCTTTAATCTAGGAGAACTACAACTCCAAAACTCTAGGTCAATGCCCACCGGACCCTTCAGTTCACATTTGGGCATATGGAATATTCGTTCCAACATTGGTCCAGATCCATCATTGTTTGAGTCCACAGTGCTCTCTGCATGTAGGTGAACTACAACTCCCAAACTCCTAATGCCCACCAAACCCTTCTAGTGTTTTGTGTTGGTCATGGGAGTTCTGTGTGCCAAGTTTGGTTCAATTCCATCATTAGTAGAGTTCAAAATGTTCTTTGCTTGTAGGTGAGCTATAAATCCCAGCAGCTACAACTCCCATATGACAAAATCAATCCCCCCTATCTCCACCAGTATTCAAATTTGGGGGTATTAGGTATTTGTGCCAAATTTGGTCCAGTGAATGAAAATACATCCTGCATATCAGATGTTTACATTACGATTCATAACAGTAGCAAAGTTACAGTTATGAAGTAGCAACAAAAATAATGTTATAGTTGGGGGTCACCACAAGATGAGGAACTGTATTAAGGGGAGAAGAGGCTGAAGCAGTCCTTGCATGTCTATACAGATGGAGTAAGGGGTTTCTGGAACAGAGGAAGGGGCACTGAATGGGTAAGCGCACTTGGCCTCCTAGGCCTAGGGATCTCTAGGGCGCAGAGAGTCTTTCTGCATAGGAAAAACAGAACCGCTGCCATGTAAATTGGGTGAAGACAGAGCCTTCAGGTCACAGTCAGCTGTCAAAAGCATTCTGTATTCCCTTGAACTGATTCAGCAATAAAGGCTAAATATTGAAATGCCAAACTTGGGAAGGGCTAGGAACACGCAAATACTTTGGCTTGGGTGATAAAGCAATGCAAGGCAGACAAGCGAGAAGAGGCCAAAGGAAAAGATTATTCAAGACGCCAGAGATCCGGATTCACTCTGCAAAGTCAAGGAGGAAGACTCTTTCCTATCTAAAGGAAAGAACCCAAAGCTCTCTTCTTCCTTGGCTAAAATCATAGAATCATAGAATGGGAGGTCTGTGTGCCAAGTTTGGTTCAGTTCAATC